CTTTAATGCTTCTAGACTGAGAGGTTAGGACGAGGTGTTTGCCAACCTGACTTACACGCTAACAAGCATACACCTCATTATCTCCACTATGGTTGCTCACGGAATTATACAATCTTGATCAGGCTTTTTTACTGGTTTATTTAGCCTGGTTGACCGGAGCCTGATTTTATTCCTTTATGTTCACTCTGTTTTATACCTATCTTGTGTATATACGTTAAAATATACACACGCGCACACACACACACACAACAATCAAAAGAGCAGGATCAAAATAAACGATAATTAGCCAAATTATCAAACCCTATCTATGCTTATTTATTTTCGTTTATTTTTACGAGTAGATACAAGAGGTAGGATAAAGCCAATTAGTCTTATTGATCTAGTGTGAGCTTGATACTTGTACAAGAATAATTTCCACCTCTAATGATTTCCCTCATATAATTCTCGAAATCTCAGGCCACTTTCTTACGAAACGAGGGAGGATGACTAGTCGACTGCGTCAACCTGAAGGTCGTATTTAAGCCAGATGGCTGCAGTACAAAAAGAATCAGCATTCATCGACCTCCGAATCTCTTCTTTATCTACTTTGATACAATTTAATGTTCCTCTTCAATGGTTTCTCAGGCTGTTCTTCGAAACTGAGTATTCTTCGGATCTACCAGATGAACCTGGTACTGAGAAAGGTCACATTTTTCTGTACACGGACAGAAGCTCATCAAGATATTTATTAAAATAGTCCAGATCGCTAAATCATCCCTTTTTTCATTTTTAGGTAGTTTTTAAATGCATCAAATTTATCTGATAATTTTTGCATTTTCCAGTTTCTCTTTTCGAATCACACTGAGCAACGAGGTGACGTAAAGTCAGCACGCGATCACTCGGTGATGCTTCGCAAACAGCAGTTTGAGACCATAATGAAACAGAATGCAGTTGGATCGATTCCTTCCAAGCGTGAAAAGGAAATTAAAAAGGTAGGTACATGACCAGAGCCTATCCACTTGGGCCAAAACGTAACTGAAGGGAAGACTTTTGTTCAGTGAGGAATTTCGCTGCTTAGGCTGTAGCTTATTTGATAATATTGCAGTTTCCACTCCGCTTGAGCTTCACTAGCACTCCGATTGGGGCTCTAACTCACTGCACTGATATCTACCGGACACAGGGAGTAGCGAAATTCGATGAAAAAAAGTCTTCTCAATTCATTGTTTGCAGATACTAGATCATTCTAATAACTATAAGCGAAATGGGGAAAACTAACAATGATGAAAGCTCATTGTCAGCGTCTATAACTTACTGTAATGTCAATGGCATATTGAAGTTGAGACTCTTCGAGAAGATCAGCTAAAGACGAATGGATCACCACTGATCATATTGCTGCAAAGGAACTTCTATATGAGCAGCTTGCAATGAACTAATAAGGCTTTATTTCGCAGCTAAATTCCACATTGCGTTAGAATTCGGGGTCAGCTGAGCTTTAAACTCTACTCGCGACATAATTACAGGCGGATACTCTTTGCTTTCTCTTTAACTCATAGTGCACTATCCATCACTACGCAGCTTCCTACTACCCGATACAAACTAAGACCCAGCTTGCTTGATTGCGCCAGAATGGTATTGCCCCACAACCAACAATTACCTAATTTGAGTCCATTCGATGACTGCTACAAGAGACATAAGAAAGTCCTAAAGACTATCTGAACTTCGCTCATTAAGTGGACGTAAGGTAATTGTTATTAGCATTAAATGAAAGTTGCCCCGGACTCACTAAATGGGAAATTCATAGTTTTGAGGATAGGAAAATAGAATATCCTTGTTCTGCAAATCGAGACACATTTCGAGGTCAAACGCTGGGCACCGGAGTAGATAGATTCAAAATGGTTATCCGTTTGTCTTTTGGCAATCGCCAATCATTTTCCGATGGGACTTGTATACGAATCTGTTTTCGACCGTCTTCACATGAAATGGGTAAAAGCCATGCAACCTAAAAGTTCCCTTGAGTAGATGTCTGACAGGATGCTAATCTGGAATATTTCGGTCACCTCCAGGGACCATGTGAAAAGTAAGGAGATGGGCGATTGGAGTAATCGTAGGCTGATGATGAATAGGGTTTCAGATAGTATACAAGAATTCCTCTCATTTGAGCAGGCTGATTGGTTCGCGAAAAGTGCAAAAGATATTGGAAATAAGTTTGATGCTATTGCACAAGCAGAAGTTTATTCTATCCAAACTTCAGCCCATATTCGGACCTGGACTCAAGGGAAACCGGTCTTCCTTACGGCTTTTTTCGCCCAAATCGAATGAGACTGATTCCCGTACAAATGTCGGCAACAACGACCCCAACAATATCGCTTTTAAAAGTTACACCAGCAGCCGTCGTCTCGTTCCAGAACGGCTCCCCAAGGAACCAAGCCTTCACGATCAGGACGTGCCATGGCTGTACTCCGGCATTGAGGGGTCACGTCCGCAACCGGCCCAGGGACAGTCAGCTAACGAGAAGGACAAACCAGTAGAGGTGCAACTGGGCGTCCTCGAGGAGGGACACAAGTGGTGCCCATCAAGAAGCCGACCTTCGCAACGGATAGAGCTCGAAGACCTACGAGACATCCCGAACTCGGCTAAACGGCCAGGCCGAGTCCTGCCAAACTCGAACGTAGATCCTGTACGTCTTATCACTGCTGAACCTTCTTCCAGGCTGCAGTCCCAACATATTGGAAGACGTATGTCAGTTGTATACTCATTTGTGTTCAAATAAATTAATGTTCAAGTATGCTTGTAAAAGTCAGTATTTAATTAATCAGACAGTAAAAAACAAATAAATAAATCAAATACTTTTACTACTAATACAATAATATATAAGTCTGTATTTAATTATGAAACAAACATGTATGTACTTTCGAAATGAGTATGTTTAGAAACTTTCTGTAATTTTTTAATAAACTCTTTAGATAGCCCAAGTCGCTTAGGTGATTTAGACTAGCCTAGCTTAACCTAACAACTGCAGTCGCAGCACAAGCTCATCCAATTGATCTAGTGCTCGATGTTGAGACGTATCTTTTCCTATCTTCAAGCGTACTTCTGCTAAGTACTTATTTACCCACAATGAAACGAGTAGACCCCATGATGCCATAATATATCATCGAAAGATTTCCTCATCCCATCTAGTCCGGAGTTTCAACCACGCTTCATTGTGTTATCAGCACCCCTAGCAGGATTCGATATCGAGTAGTGAGTATCGTGGCAACGTTCACACTTCACTACACATACACAGGTGCCAATGGGTTACTGGGCCTATGTGACTATCAGCATGCTGACTTGATCTAGTTTGCTTAACTTGGTCGTGGTGTCAGATAGACTTATAAGAAGGCAGCTGGTCCATAGTGATCCTGATATGTTCCAGCAATGATTCCCTGATTTGGTACACTACCAGACATCAGGAAGACGAGGCCAGTTCAAATCTATACCGCAGCAGGATACTGTGATGAAACCTGAGGCCATACTGCCTTCATATCTAGGCTCCATAAGCCGAGTTATAAACTGACAGGGTCTTATCTACAAGGTTCATGCTCCTAATAACCATTGATTTCAAAATTCCAACCTTAGCACTGTTACTATTGTTTGAGTGAAAATTAAGTGTAAATCCGATAATGCCTAATTTTCTATAAAAGTCCCTCTTCAGCCTGACAGCTCTAATTTCCAAGACATTTAGAAATGGCTATGAATTGGTAAAATCTAGCTTAATCGTAAACTTAACATTGTCGAGTAATTAATCGCTATGATATCGTATTTCCATAGTTGAATACACGAACATACCCACGCACTAAGTAACTAGCTGAATTTTGTTATATTTGGTGTTAAGTAAGTTATCTATAAGTAAATATAGTAGAGGAAGACTATCCAGTTAGCATTCTTGGCTTACTTTAATATTGAGGGTTTCTAAGAAAGTCTTCCAACTTTGGTTACGTCTGTCAACGGGCACGTTTTTACAGAAACCGAAAGGGGGCAGTTTCAATCAATCTGGGTTACGAAAGTCAGCCATTAGACCTACAGATTCTTTCGTAAAGCACATTCGCAGGAAATGAAAGTAATGCCAGCACCAAGCAACCAATAGCTTCCTTGAAAGCCAGTTTTTCTTAGTATAAATTGCTATCAGGGGAATAGTTGCTGATTACATTACTATTCTCATGAATTTTCGCCCATAATTATCTATTATTTTGATTTCTCCTGCAAATAACTCTTAGTAATGCAGTGATTTCGTCAAGTTGCTATGGCTCATTTTATTATTTTCTTTGGACATCTCAGATAATCTTTAACTAACTTACAAAACTGGCAAGTAGGCTAACACCATGGTCCATTTTATTTTCAATCATTTCCTCTCACTGTCCCCAGGCAAGTTGCTATTATATTTTGTAATCTTATATTTTATAAGGACTTAAAGCATCAACCCATTGGATCACGTGAACCAAGTGTGAAGTGTTTTCGATCTTTGGCTAAGGAATTAATCCTCTCAATTGGGCTAATTGTAATGCCGGTTTGATAATCAGTCCGGCAACTGGCATAAACAACAAAACCCTTTATCTTGTGCTTTTGCCCACATTCACAGAGCATTCAGGTTCCGGGCTGTCTGGATCATTGTATTGCAAAGTGACTCCTTGCTCCAGGATCAATCTTGAGGCCGATAAGTCGGCGAGCTCCGGTTCCCATGATTATGCCTCTTCGACGAGTCTCTTTGACAAGGCGACCGACTGGCAAACGCGCTTTTTTCCCTCGGTTTCGATCCTCCAGGCACACTGGACCGAGCTGAAAATGAGACAGTTAGCTGCTCCTTGTCACAAATCGCCCGATGGTTGCCAACGGATTCAAGATACAGCTAACTTAAAGGTTAGT